ACAGGGAGGACAATTAACCAGTGGAACAGCTTCCCTCCAGAAGCCTCGTGGCTGCTCCATCACTGGAGGTTTTTAAGAAGAGACTGGACAGTCACTGGTCTGAAATGGTATAGGTTGTCCTGCTTGAGAGCAGGGGGCTGGACTAGAAGATCTCCAATGTCCCTTCCAGCTCTGTTCTATTCTAATTCTAATTCTAATTCTGCAGTGGTTCTGTTGCTTTTTGGGGTAGTTAAGGCACCATGCCAGAAAGCAGAAGACCCCGAGTTTTTGTTCCGCCTTAGGCACAAAGAGTCACCTTCAGCCCAACTGACTTCACAGGGTGGTGGTTGTCGGGGAAATAGGAAGAAGAGATACTGATTATGTTCACTGTGTTATTTGTAAATATAATTAAATAATAATAAAGGTGCAATAAATAAATAGTTGTTAGCTGCCCAGAATCACTTGCTCAAGTTGGGGACTACAGGGAGAAGCTGATAGCAACCTTGAATGATGTCAGACTAGTCAAGCAAACTGAACTATGTGACTGACTACTTAAGTGGATATAAAAGCCCATTCACACATTCTTCTCTACCGGATCCCTTCTAGCTGTGTGCTGGACTATAATTTCTACTATCTGCGTGCTAAAGAGCGAGGCTGCTCAAGACAGCTGGTGGGCACTCAGCTGGGGAAAACATAGTTTCTAGAGTTTATTTCTCTTAAATGAAATAAACTGTGAATTGTGAATAGCTCATGTGAGCGACGCGAAAAGCCTCTTTAGAACAAATGCAGTTAATACACATTCAATGGATTTCCCTGCTGTGCAACTGGATGCAACATCTGGTCAACTTGAGCAGAGGATCAAAGAAAGCAGAATTGTGTGTTTCAGTCAGACAGCATTTTCGAATAACGTTGGGGGAGGACATGGGAGGATCTACTTCTGGCAGCAAACTGTCTTGGGCAGGCAGTACAAAACAGTATTTGGGAATGAGGAAAGTATTTGGGAGAAAGGAAAGAGATGCTGCTGAGGGAAGGAAGGATCAGAGAAGATCCCAACGGCTTAACCACCAGAGCAGGACACTTAGGAAGGACCCGTCCTAAAGGATCAGGCAGCTAAAAGCGGCAGTACGAAGTTTCTACCTTCAGACTTGCAAGACTCTTAATAGACTTTTAGAATAAAGTAGTCCCATTTCCCATCTGGTTTATCCAGGAGGGCTAACCTGTTGCTACACCAGCTCACCATCTCCAGGGTTTCCCTCTGGGCCCAACGTCTCGGCCACCCACCTTACGCAAAGAGAACTCTGGGTTGAAACTCCTGCCGAAGAGCTGAGTCCCCCCCAAATCCACCGACTCCTGCCCAGCACTCAGCAAACATTCATGGGCGATGCGTCCCCTGGACCCTTCCCAAGGACTAGCAACTCAGGGGTCTCTCTTTTATCTCCCACCCCTGACTGAGCTTCTGCAAAAGCCTGGGGCTTCTGCCCGGGTAGGGAAGGGAGTGCAGCTCCAAAGGCTCTTACCCTCAGCCCAGTTCCCCATGACCCCCAGGACGGAGGGCATGCTGGGGTACGGCTCTTCGGCTTTGGAAGACTTGGACTTGCTGGCAGAATGGGGCAATTCGTGCTCGTGCTGAGGCACAGCCAGCCCTCTTGCGACGGCATCTGAGCCCTGCCCGTACTGGTAGCTGGCGGGACAGGAATCCCCTTCCGAGTCCACCTGGAGCTCCTCTTCAGAGGGAGGAGCGTGGCTTGCCTGCTCAGCAGAAGCCCGGTCTTCCAGCTTGTTCGCTTTATAGGGGGGGCCGTCCGCAGGCTGGGCCAGCCCCAGGTGCCTGCCCTTCCTCAGGGATTCCTGCCTCTGGTCGTGCTTGGAGAGAGGCTGGGTGGCTCTTGGACCAGGTGGATAGTAGCTGAAGTTTGTCCAAGAGTTGCTGTTGACCACGCAGGTCCCTCGGTCGGGGCTCAGGTGGGAACGGGGGGGGCTGGACTCCGCTCTCCAGCCGGCACTGTATAGGCACAAGCGCTCCACCCCGTTGGAGCTGACCTCCTTGTCCGAGAGGCTGAAATAGCGGTCCTTCTCCTTCTCGCTGATGTCCAGGGAGGACTTGATGAACGTCTTGCAGACGCTGATGACGTCGGTCATCTGCAGGAAGCTGGCGGCCGACATGACCTCGATCACGTTCTGGCCAGTGAGGGAGAGTTTGCCTGAATACACAAAATCCAGAATCACAGAAAAGGTCTCTGGGGAAAAGGCCTGGAACGTGGCGGTGGCGGGCTGGCCGGCCTCCTTGGAGCACTGGGAGAGGAGCATTTTGAAGTAGCCGCTGCTGGCAAAGAGGACGTTGCGGTGGGCTTTGAAGACCTTCCCCTCCACTAGGATGCTGCAGTCGCAAAACAGGTCCTGCTGGCGCTGCTCATTTAACTGCTGCAGGAGGTGGGATTGGTGGGAAGAAATCTCCATCCTGGAACCGGGCAAGCTTTATGCTGCAAGAGAGCAGAGAGAGGGGCTGTTTTGACATACCCACAGCGGCTGCCATGTTTTTAACAGGAAGCTATTTTCAGACCTTGGGACAGAGAGATGTATCCTTCCTTCCTTCCTTCCTTCCTTCCTTCCTTCCTTCCTT